GCATCCTTAGTTAATAATCCCCGCGAGAAAGTCGTAACGAGAAATTGAAAGAAATATAAGAGCGCGAGATAGGGGGGGTGAGTTGTAAAATATATATATATATATCATCATTATATCTTGTGATTGGAAAGACAATACGAGAGAGAGCAAGGTGATCTCCAAGATTTGATCCACAGTGACCCAAAGTTTTGAAAACGGAGCTAAAGTCCAAGCATAAATTAAAGAGGGTTGTGCTGGGACCCAGTAAAAGATTTTCTTTGGGACTTCCAAATCTCCTCGTTCTGACATCCGGAATTTTAATGAAAAATCCATCTCCTACAGTCCCACCAATGGCTAGGGGGATTGTTGAGAATTTGAGAAGGGGTTCAATTTCCACACCATTGTTCAATATTTGATTTATTTTTTCGAATCTTAATACCAAAAAAAAAAGAAAATCTTGGTTTAGTTTTATGTGTATTATTAGTTTTGTTAAAAACTTAAAATAATTTTTTAATTTAAAATATAAGTTAATAATTTTTTATCATAAATATATATAAATATAAAAGTTAATATTAATTTTAATATTATTGTTAATAAATTAATTTAATTAAATAGTTAATTAGTTAAATATTAATTTTTATTTTTTAATAAAAAATATATTTATTACACTTACATATTAACAAATCCCTTGTTAAATATTTTTTTAATACAAAACTATTATTGTTGTAATATCATATAACATTATATAATTAATTTTTTATTTAAATATTCACCTGAAATATTATATGTATCTATTTATTTAATCATATGTTATATTTATTTAATACTACTTAATATCATTGTTACGTGGTTTGTAATTATAGCATTGTCATTTTTAATAATGTTAAATAAGTTTATAGTTTTAGTTATCAATATTTAAATTTTTTTAAAACTAATTTTTAATTTTTAGTTTTAAATTTCAAGAGTTCTAAACTTTATAAAAACTAAAATTTAAAAATAAAAATTATAAACACACTAAATAGAACTTAAATTTCTAACAATTTCCTAATCTTAACAAGAAATATGTTTTAAATAAATTTAATTAGAAGTAAGTGTTGTATAATAATAATAATAAAAAAAACCATTTCTTATCCTTTAATTTGGCCTACCTACATGTAAGTGACCCTTATTTAGTACTTCTTATTTCTTTAAAAAAATATTACCACAACATCATTGGTGATGAACGAACAAGTTTTACAAGATAATAGTGTTTAAAATTAAACTATAATACTACACGATTGTTATTAGAAAAAAATTTCTTCTCCCACCTCATGCGCTGCATCAACATTTCGTTGTCCTCTGGCTTAAAACAAATTCAGAAGATGCGCCAACATCAACATAGTAACTTTGAAAATAATGTTTTTGAGAAAATATATATGGTATTTCTCTTATAATATTATTGTAGTGTAATGCACCGTAAAGATTGCATTATTTTTAATTATTGATCAAAGATTTATTTATTTTATTAACAATTAAATAAAATATAATTCATACAAAATAAATTACACTTCACTTTTCTATTCTCTTATTACCTAAAATTTCTAAAATATAATTACTTCTGGCCATGAAACTTGAAAGTAAATAAATTAATGTATCCTACTTGCTTAACTAAGTGTTCTAACTATTAAGGCAAGTTTTGCTGCTTTTATATGGGTAGGCCACAATGGGGAACCGAGCTAACTTAGGTTGATTAGGTATTTAGGTAGATCTTGTACAAGACTGTATACTGCCCCACCAGTCCACACCATGAGAACTCCACTTGAACAGGTTCTTAAGAAGACTTACAGGGTTTAAAATCCAAAGATACTAGAATTACCCAAAATTTTGAAAAGGGAGAACTTAAGAAAAATAAAAAAGATACTAGCACATTGGAAACAAGAAGTGTTTCGGGGCATAAATTAGCGAACCTGTTTTTTGTTTTTAGTTTTCATTGCTGAAATTTGAATAATCAAAGTGATACTTAAAAGATAAAATTAAACCCAATAAAATATTTAGTACATGCAAGTTTCTAAAATTAATAACTAAAATTGATTTGTTTAATTTATTAAAAGTTTTTGGGTTTTTCTAAGAGTTTTGAAA